TTTTTTGTCCATCCACTTTAAATTAAAAGACTAAAAATGTGTATATTTAGGCAAATTTAATAGAATAATTGATAGAAGGACTAAAAAAAAAAAAAAATGGACTAAAAAAGTACATAAAAAAGTTAAAGGATGAAAATTATGTAAAACATTAACGTTGAGGACCAAAAATGGAATTTACTCTTTGTAAATTTGAATTGAGTTGTACGGAACAATTTTTGTGTACTGGCAGCACTGTGTAATCTGAAATTGCAATTGCAGGGTAATTAAGATTAAGAAGCCCTTAGCCCAAAACGACGTTTTGGGCTAAGGAATCCCCTTTTTTTTTTTAATTTTCCATAGTGTGTTGCGGCTAAAATTTTGGTGTACCAGTCGGTACACTGAAATTTCAGCTAATACATCGGATGTTGACCGAATTAACCAAATTTTGACCGAAACAAATTTTCATACTATATCATTTCGATTAATACAAAAAACCAGTATGTACTAGCTAGTATGGCTAGTACAATACGAGATTGACTGCACTGATACCTCTAGCTTTTTTACAGTACTGAGGTACGAAGTGCATGTTTCAATGGAAGAAATGACACAATGTTCAAAAGAACGTCATCAGGCAACTTGTGATACTACGCAAGCCGCTATATGCTTCCATGGTTATGGTATAGAAAATTAAATTGCATAGGAATGGCTGAGTGCTCTCTCATTCGAGAGCATCCCCCTTTCACAGGAGGAAATAAGGCAAATCTAGCCCAGAACAGGTGGGAGGCAAGCGCTATGATTGTCCAGCGGAGTAAAGGACGTTAAAATGTGGTGAACAAGGAAAGAGAATCTTAGCCCAGTGGAGAACCATTGAAATGGAAACTCCAATAATTTTGCAGCTCTATGAATTTTAGGGAACACAAATCACACGACGGTCAATCAAAGTTGACAATGCAACGGCTCCTCCCAGACGGTTAGTCAAGGGAAAAATCATTTTGTAATTAGAGAAAAATCTTTTTTTTTTTTCTAACAGAGGCGATTGTAGTTACTACTACTACATTTTATGTTTAAGGGGGTGGGATAGACCTAGCAATTTTTTACCCAACCCGCTAACCCACCCATTTATAATGGGTTAGGGTCATATATTTGTGACTTGCGACCCATTAAGAGAACCTGATGAGTCACAGGTCAATAACGGGTTGACCCACAAGGTTAACGGGTTTGACCCGTTTACCCGTCTAAAAATTTAAAAATTTTTAATTTATTATTTATTTATTTTGTTTTTCAATTCCCAATCTCACCTAAACCTCCAATAATTGACTAATTTTCTCTAATTAGCTAATTGATTCTCTTAACTCATCATCTTCTAAAAGTAAAAATAATCCCACTCCACTTATAACTCACCTCTCGACCTTTCCTATTCTTGCTTGCCCTAATACTCTCTATGACTCTAACTCTTCAAAGTGCAAACTCTTCTCATATTCTTCAACCTCCATAGTCCATACAGCCTTCGACTTTCAAGCTTCGACTCCACATTTTCTCTTTAGTCTTTAACATTATCTCAGACTTAGATCTTAGTCTCACCAAGTCACCATCGCGTCCACTTAGCCCTTTCTTTCTTTCTCCTTCGAGTTGGACAAGTGCTCTCTTTGTCACCAACTTTTCTTTCTAAAGCCTTTAAGGTAAGTTGTTTACTTATTTATGCTTTTTAGTTTTCTCTCCATTCCAAGTAAAAACTCTACTTGATCTTGTCCTTTGCTTAGATGCATTCAATTAATTGATTCTTTGAAAG